GAGAGAGAGAGAGAGAGAGAGAGAGAGAGAGAGAGAGAGAGAGAGAGAGACTGACTTGGCTTGAACATCTTAAATCCTCAAAACCCAGCCCCCCAGTGACAAACCCTTTGACAAGACCACACCTCCCAATGCTGCCACTCCCTAAGAGCCTATAGGTGTAGTTTTGTTTTGTTTTTTTAATCTTTGCTCTTTGGGGGCCTGCCACCCAGCTCCCAGATAAACACATAGAGACTTATTCTTACTTACAAGTGCCCGGCCTTAGCTTGGCTTTTTCTTGTCAGTTTTTCTAACTTAATTATCCTGTTTCTCTTTAACTACATTTGCCTCTGGGCTTTTTAACCTTCCTTTATTCTATATTCTTTTTTCCCTTCTTACCCTGTGGCTGGCTATGTAGCTGGGTGGCGGGACCCTGGCATCCGCCTCTCCTTCTCCTTTTCCTTGCTACTCCCTCTTCCTCTCTTGAGCCTCAATTTCCTTCCTATTTATTCTCTCTGCCTGCCAGCCCTGCTTATCCCTCTCCTGCCTGGCTATTGGCCACTCTGGTCTTCATTATACCAATCAGGTGTTTCAGACAGACAAAGTTACACCGCTTTCCAGTTAAACGAAAGCAACATAAAAGGACACCACACATATTTGCATCATTATCAAATATTCCACAAGACAAATGAATGTAACTCAGCTTAAGCTAATATTCCACAACATGTAGGGGCCATTCTCATTCAGACCACCACACCAACGTTCAAGACAAGAGAAAGCTGCTATCTTCGGTTAAGGCTTTTGCCGCTATTGCCTACTTGGCTGTATAGGTTACCTCTTAGAAGAAAGAAGCCTTTGAGACTCAGAAGGCCCCAAGTTATAGGCCTTCTGTTTGTGGACCAGTGACTGTTTATGAAATTGTAAGATATGAGATTTCCAAGTAAGTTGAAAATGCTCTGTTTTTACAGAGAAATTGTACAAAAAGGCAACCCTTTGATGCCCAACACAAAGAAGAAAAACTATAAATTATAGTCTAATTCCTATCTGGAAGATCTTACATCTGAGGGAAGATGGATAAGTGTTTCCTTTTTTTTTTTTTAATAGTTGGCCAATGTGCCTGTTTGTGCATCTGTTCTAACCACACCCCCGACGTGTAGTTGGCAATCATGTCCTACCAAGTCTGCTTCCCTCAAGCTTCTGTATCACTGCCACCTTCTTCATTTCCTCGCTTTAAGAGCTCATCACCGACCATCTAATTCGTCCTTAGTGAAATAAAACCCAGTACCCTACAGATCCACAAGGCCGTCCATTAGAAGCAAGAGGAAACATTTACTTGTAAAAATAGAACAAATTAAATTGTATTAACACATATACAGATGACGATGAAAACTGGTGGACAACAGGTGGATGCTAAGAGGAGAGTGGATGGTTGCCTGATCCCTCCACTCTCTCACCTCCTACAATTTCATTTCACCTTGAGAGTAAAGGCACCCAGTTACGTAGGTCAGTGGCCTAGTTTTCTTAAAATCTGCTGGACTCTCTAGGAGTTTCTCCTAACTCATAGCGAAGAACAGACAGAAGAGCATGCAAGAGGTAACAGTTGCAATCATGCGCAGAACATGCAAGGGGTACCAGCTGCAATCACGAACTCATACCAGTGATGGCTGTCTGCACTGAGTCTGCACCACAGCGGCCCATCAGTGGTCAGGCTGAATGAGGGAGGAGCTCAGAGGTCAGCCCTCGTAATTGAACATAGGGTTAGGGTAGGTTCCAGAAGACAAGCATTATTTCCTTCAGTTGTCTAGGCATCAGTGAGCCCACTGTAGTCCAATGGTTTTTTCCAAATTGTGACCAGGTAGACAGCCCTGGTTAAGCACAGTGTGTCATAAAATGAATAAAGGAGATGGAAATCTGAGAAAGGGAGATGCAGGGAGGAGGGGGGAGTTTGTAGGGATGGGAGGGGATAAAGGAGCGTAAACAGAATGCATTATATACATGTATAGCATTGTCTAGGAATAAGCTTAATTAGTAAAAAACTAAAATGAGGAGCAATGCTGGTCTAGTTTGGGAGGTGTTTTATAGAACATTGGAGCACACAGGAGATTTAGCAAGAGGTCCCTTCAAGCCAAGATGTACAAATAAGAAAGAGGCAAAGACAGAAACAGCTCATTACAAAATGAAAAGCTATCGTTGGGGAACAATGAGGTTCCAATACACAGGGTAACAGGCCAAATCCTAGATGCAGCTTTGATTAAACAGGTCCTGAAACTACTAGGCAAGTAGAGCTATATGAGGAAGGGAAATGTGTGGGTAAAAGTGACGGGAGAGCGTTCCATTCATGTCCTATAGAAGAAAACCAGCCGATGAACTCTAAAAGAAAGACACAGAGAAATGTTGACTGAATGGAAGGAAACAGGCCAAGTTGAAAGTGATCAACTTGGAGGCCTTAGAAACTTGATTGGAGATATGGATTACAGAGAAATTGGATGCTCAGATTATAAAGTTTCCAGGGTTTTCATTTACTTCTTGGGAAATGGGGGTGGGCGCTGGAGAGATTGCTCTGGAATTTAGAATGCTGCACTACGATAAGCAAGTGCATGGTAAAGGGACCACCAAGATGTCCACTCCATAATTTGGTGGGAAAAGTTTTATTGGAGGTACGAGAGGGAGACCATCCAGAGGCGTCTGGAAGAGTCCAGAGTAGAGAGAAAAAGAAACAGACTGGACAGGGACAAGGCTATCTGTGAGAATAGTAGAGAATAGCAAGAACGAGAATCGGGGGAGGGGGGAAATTCTTATCATTTTAAAGAGAGTAGGAAGTGAGCTATAATCTAGAAGACGTAGTTTATTGGAGGAGGAGATAAGAAGGACCAGGAGGCCAGCAGGGGCTGGAAGACGCGTAACAAGTACAAGTGAATACAGATTTGGTATGTGTCAATAGGGAGCAAGATGCCTCATCTACCAGAGAAAGGAAAAGAACAGGGAAGTGGCTCTTCCAGGCAGACAGAAACCCATTTCCCAGGTTCCTGAGGAATGCTTCAAGTATTCTCCAGCAATCCCATAGTCCAGTGTGCGCTGAGCCAAGACTGCTATTTCTAGACATATGCACTGCCCTTTGGAGTGTGAGACCTAGCAATAACCAGCCAGGTGTGGTTCCATACAGGTGTGTAAACCAGCGCTGAGGGAGGTAAGGACAAGAGGGTCACTGAGCCTTACTGGTTTTTAGTCCAGATCGGGGGAAGAAAAGAAACAAACTGTGAGCTTCAAGTTCTGGGGGAGATCCCGCCTCAAAGCAACAAGACAAAGTGAAAGAGGAAGACACCTGAAGCCATCCCAAGCCATCCTCTGGTCTCTCAGAATATAGAGCTACACCCACCGATATATACCACACATAGATAAACACACATGCACCCACATAAACTGTACTTACACAGATACAGATACATGCCCACACATACACATGCACAAAATAAAGAAATAAATTAGGGGCCGAGAGAGGACTCAGCAGTTATGAGCAGCTGTTGGTAGGGGACCTAGGTCAGTTCCCAAGCACCTATCTGGTGGCTTGAAACCATTTGTAACCCCACTTCCAGGGGATCTGAGGCTCTCTTCTAACTCCTGAGGGTTCCAGACCCACATATGGTGCACATACATACATACATGCAGGCAAAACACCCACACACATAAAACAAAATGCATAATTTTTTAAATTTTTAGTTAAAGAAATAGTACTGAATGAAAATAAAATAGAATAAAAGGAGAAGTATTGCTGTGGAATAATCTTTTTGTACACTATGAAGATTTGTCACTCAGATTGGCTTTATAAAAAAAGCTGGATGGCCAATAGCTAGGCAGGATTTGGGGAGCAGAGAGAAATCTGGGAAGCAGGATGGAGACTCGAGAAATTGCCAGCCAAATGGAAAGGAAACCGTATGTTCAGAGTAAAGTTGATAAAGCCACGAGACAAAAGATAGATTGATAGAAATGGGTTAGTTCTGTCATAAGAGCTAGTTAGAACAAGCCTAAGCTATTGCCTGAGTTTTCATAATTAATAATAAGTCTCTGTGATGTGATTTGGGAGCTGGCAAGCAGGACAGAGAAAGACTAGCTATAGAGTATGGAGAAAACTTTTATTACAGATATAAAGGAGAAATAGCCAGCAGACTATACCAGACCATGAGAGGAGAGAGGTAGAGGGAGGGCAGGAGAGGAGCCGCCAACCAAGAGAGATGGCTTGGGCCAAGACAGCACAGTAGCCAAAATGGCTGAGTTACTTAGGGCACAGGCTGAAGGAAGGAAGCAGAAGACTATCCTTTAGGAGGGAGTGGTTTAGGGTAGGGGGCAGAGTGTGAGGAGTGTTGGGAGGAGCCACTGGTACTGAGTAGCACTGGGAGCTGGGAGGAGCCTCAGGCACTCAGTGAGACCTGTCCTGGGTTTGAGACCTAACAAATACCATGCACTATATTAAGAAAAATTTTAATTGAATCAAATAAAATGCAATGAGAAAGTTAATGAAATTGTCAGTGCTTGAAGGTTCTGTATGAGCAAAATTAAGAAAAGAACTATAGCATTCACAAATGCAAAGCACGAATATTCTTAAAATTGTTTAGGCAGGACCTGAGACCGCTCTTTAAGCCTGCATCAGAACCTTCGTTTTCCTTCCCA